CTTTGGCTCAGGTCATGATCCCAGGGTCCTGGGACTGAGCCCTGCATTGGGCTCCCTGCAGGGAGGCTGCTTCTCCCTCTCTCTCTGCCCCTTCCCCCCTGCCACTCCACCCCCTGTTCATGCTTTCCCAAATAAATAATAAATAAATAAATAAATAAAATCCTAAAAAAGAAAAGAAAATCATCAATAACATAGGAAATTTGAACAAACTGTCATCCAACTTGCCTTGACATCTATGGCACATTATGACATAACAGAAACTCTACCCAACAACAAACAGCAAAATACATTGCTGAATACAACAGAATACATTTTTCTCAAATACACATGAAATGCTTCTACTACAGACCACATTTCAGACTGTCAAACAAGTCCTTTCAAATGTACTCATTTAAAATTTAGGGGTGCCTAGGTGGCTCAGTTGTTAAGTGTCTGCCTTTGGCTAAGGTCATGATTGGGCTCCATGCTTGGCAGGCCTGCTTCTCCCTCTCCTCCTCTCCCTACTTGTGTTTCCTCTCTTGCCATGTCTCTGTCAAATAAAATCTTTAACAAAAAACTTACTCATTTAAAGGACTCAAGTCATGCAACGTATCTGACCACACAGAATTAAATTCAAAATCAGTACCAAAATGGTATCTGGAAAATCCTCAGATAACTGCAAATTAGCATACTACTAAAATAACCCATGGGTCAAAGATGAAATCCAAAATGAATTTAGAAAATAATTTTAATTGAATGAAACTAAAAAACATGTAAATACTGATGGGATGTGAATAAAGCTGTATTTACAAGTAAATTTGTAGGACTAAACACAAGAAAGGACTCAAATCTGTGACTTCAGTTTCCACATTAAGAAACTAGAAAAAGGGGCGCCTGGGTGGCTCAGTAGGTAAAGCCTCTGCCTTCGGCTCGGGTCATGGTCTCAGGGTCCTGGGATCGAGCCCCATGTCAGGCTCCCTGCTCAGCAGGGAGCCTGCTTTCCCCTCTCTCTCTCTGCCCACTGCTCTGCCTACTTGTGATCTCTCTCTCTGTCAAATAAAAAAATCTTAAAAAAAAAAAAAAAGAAACTAGAAGAAGAGTAAATTAAACCCAAAGTAAAAGAAGGAAAGGAACAATAATTATCAGACAAGAAATCAGTAAAAAGGAAAACAAAATAATAGAGAAGAATCAATGAGGGACACCTGGGTGGCTCAGTTGTTAAGCATCTGCCTTAGGCTCCAGTTATAATACCAGCCCCATATTGGGCTCCCGGCTCAGCAGAAAGCCTGCATCTCCCTCTTCCACTCCCCCTGCTTGTGTTCCTTCTCTTGCTGTCTCTCTCTGTTAAATAAATAAAATCTTAAAATCTTAAAAAAAAAAAAAAAGAAAAATCAATGATATCAAAAGCTGGTTGTTTTGAAACCAATAAAAAACACTGGAATCAACTCTGGCAAGACACTGTGCTCAATGTTGATATTTAAGCTATTTATCCTGTCTCATTCTAAATTTGAAGAAATTATGAAGGAGACACAGGAATATTAGCTATATGGCCTCAGTGGTCATACTTCTACTCTACATACGTCTCTCTGAAGAGATGAGGCATATCCATCCATAGGCAAACCACATAACTCCTTCACACAACAGTTTTCTCAGAAGTAAAATAAATGGATTAGATCATCTCTAAAATCTTTTGGGCTCTAAGATCCTCTACATGTCAAATAAGAGGGACATATCTACTACTGACAACTCTAAATAACCTGAACAAGATGTCCTGATAAAAACCTGAGGGGCGCCTGGGTGGCTCAGTGGGTTAAAGCCTCTGCCTTCAGCTCAGGTCATGATCCCAGGATACTGGGATTGAGCCCCGCATCGGGCTCTCTGCTCGGCAAGGAGCCTGCTTCCTCCTCTCTCTCTGCCTGCTTCTCTGCCTTTTTGTGATCTCCGTCTGTCAAATATATAAATAAAGTCTTTATTTTTTTATATATATTAAGATTTTATTTATTTATCCAACAGAGAGAGTCACAAGCAGGCAGAGAAGCAGGCAGAGAGAGAGGGGGAAGCAGGGTCCCTGCCGAGCAGAGAGCCCGATGTGGGGCTCAATCCCAGGACCCTGGGATCATAACCTGGGCCGATGGCAGAGGCTTAACCCACTGAGCCACCCAGGTGCCCCTAAATAAAGTCTTAAAACAAAAACAAAAACAAAACCCTGAATTTAGCACTTTCCTCCAAAATAACCATCTTGACCAAAGTGTAAAAGTTGGTCAATCCACCCATAAATTTGTATGTTTCAATAGCAATCTCGGGAGAAAATAAAAATCTGTGTTATGAAAAGATAAACATATAAAAGTAGCTTAAAGGATACTTTTATTATGAAAGTGAAAGAGCCCTGGGGTGCCTGGGTGGCTCAGTGGGTTAAAGCCTCTACCTTTGACTTGGGTCATGATCCCAAGGTCCTGGGATCTGAGCCCCTGCATTCAGCTCTCTGCTCAGCGGTGAGCCTGCTTCCCCCTCTTTGCCTGCCTCTCTATTTGTGATCTCTGTCAAATAAATAAATAAAACCTTTTAAAAAAAAAGAAAAGAAAGTGAATGAACCTTTATGCTGATTCATACAGTCCAGTAATACTGCAGACTTTCAAACTTTCCCTAGTTAACCTCATATAACTTAGAAGTATTAAGTGAAGGCCCTATATAAGAGCTTTTACTACTGAATATTTTAAAATTCTGTCAAGCATTGGGCCTTAATTGGTGCAGAATGTTTTAATTTAATGAAATCCTGGGGTATGATCTCTAAAGGATGGGCCTAATGCCTAACTGAAGTCATGATCTCCAAAAAGGGGAACTACTTAACCCCACCTATTATCCACCTCCAATCATGGAACAAACAATTACAGTTCCAGGACTCACTACAAGTTACATGTATAGTGTAAAGATGTGGATAACAGTGCAATAGCCACTCAATAATTGTGTGCTCTAACAAGGACCTATTTGCTCAGAGTCTCATTTCCTAAATCTGTAGAAGATACCTATGCTCCGAAATATGAGGATTAAAGGAAAAAATGAATAAAATGTCCCCTCCCTCTCCACTAGCACACAGCACTTCCGTATTCATATTCATTTCCCTTAGGTTTAACCTCACCTTTTGATTTTTTTTTGACAAAAACCTTCTATAGGTTAGGCTGTGCAATTTCAACATAAACACACATTTTTAGTGTTTCTTCAGAAGCTTTATTTCAAAACCACTGTGTAATTAAGATAGGGTAGGAACAGTCTTCCAAATTAAATAAGAATTAAATAAGACTGATACAACTTTTGTAATAAATACCCACTTCAGAGTAAATAAAATCAAGTACCATCATGAACTGATGAGAATCCTATGATCACTATCATTTTTTGGAAGCAGCTTCAAGAAATACCTAAATCTAGTCAATTTTCATTGATTCAAACATTATTCAATAACATTCAACAGATTAACTCCACTATTATGTGGAAATGTATTCCACAACTAATTTATTCTGGGCCTATTTGCTGGGATAGTTTTCCTTAAAATTAAATATCCTATAGGTACAATATAATTTTCTTGAAGGTGATTATTTTCATTTGAAAACCTCTCCTCAAACCTTCTGAGCCAAAGCATTCTCTTTCATGTACAGAACTGTTTTAACCAAGTCTTTGACAGTTGTACAAATCCAGAGCCACCCACAACTGGAGAAGTCCAGATTCTGCCACTTGCAAGTGGAGTGGGTAGTAAACTACTTTTCATTTCATACTATCAGTATCCATATACCTCTGGTGGCTCTTTTTTTTTTTAAGTGTATATATAACAAGGGTCCTTTAGAGAACAGTGACCTGGAGACTAAAACTAGATCATTCTGGGATACCAAGGGACTGCTTTTACAAACACCACTTACCATTTGGTCCTCAACGGACAGGAAGAATTGGTATAAATATGAGCAGATCTACACAGAAGTGGAAAGCTAGAATAACCCTAAAATAGCTGCACACTCAAAGCCTATGAACAATTAACTTAAGGCAGAGCAACCAATCACTATCACAAACAAAGCAGGAGCCCTCAAACAATGTTTTGAGGACAACCAATTTCCTTCAATCTCAACGGCTATGTATTCAAATCGGTATCTTAAATCTTTGAAGTGTACTGTGGTGTTACTCCTTTCTTACTCCAGGGAACCTGGTGAGAAACTGAATTGGCAGTCATGAAAATAAAACAAAACCTTAAAATATGAGGATGAAAGAAATATAAACCTCCATAATACATAGCCAAGATAAAAAGAGAATCGGCCTACAGGTCATCTCATTCTTTCGGTGTTAACAGAACATTTTGTATAAGTTACTGGATTCAGACTTGAAAGAAATGAACTTGAAAATGGGTCAGTGCCACCAAACATCAGAAGCGGGCGCTCATCTGTCTTCTATGGCTAACCTGCCGTCAGCACGCGACAACGAAAAGACCACCTGCCTTCCCCCACCCACCAGCCGGCTCTTCAGGTAACACGCTTTTCTTCTCACGCTGTTGAGGCAATCTAAGAGGAACAGATTTCTTTATTTTAAAACATTAACAAAGCAAAGAATGCAACACGCGCGCGCACGTACACACGTACACACAAACACACACACACAACTTCTACGAGGCTCGTCTCCTCCGTTCGAGGACAACCCGTCTCAAAGCATTCCACCTCAGGAGAACGAGACGCCCGCGGGGGACCGCAGACCCCAGGACGCTATCACCGCCTTGCTCTGCTCGGACCTCGGCCCGAGCAGCGCGGCTCTGCGCGGGGTGTAGCGTACGCCCGAAGGCCAGGCCGGGCCGGGCCGGGCCGGGCCGGGCCGGGCCGGGCCGGGCCGCGCCGCGCCGCACCGCACCACCGTGACAAAGCCACGAGCGCGACGGCCTGTTTCCCCCCGGGCCTGGGCCGGACCCCCGTGGCCCGACAAGGGCAGACGCAGGCCGGCGGGGCGCAGAGGCCCGGCCTTCCGCCCGGCCCCGGCCCCCGCCTGGTACTCACACACGCACAGCTCCACCACGTACGCATAGTAGGACCAGACGACCACGAAGGTGATGAAGAGCACCGGCACCCAGCCCACGCTGCGCTGGCAGCAGCGCCAGAATGTCCACGGCGCCATGTTCCGCTGGCGGCTGCTGCACCCAGCGCCCCACTGAAGAGGGGAGCGCCAGGCGCCCGGCGGCGGCGGCGGCAGCGACTCCGGCGCTCGGGGCCGCTCCTCGCCCAGGTGCCCCGCCTCCGAGACGGAGCCCGCGGAAGAGAAGATGGGAGTCCCCCTCACGACTCCTCCCCTCGCCGCGCCGGGCCAGGTCCCGCCCCCGCCCTGCATCCCACCGCCCCCCACCTTCCCCCACCCCCGCCCACGCCCTCCCCACCTCCGCCCGCCGCAGCCCGCGCCGCGCCTCCGGGGGCGGGGCCCGGGCGTGGGGGCGGGGCTTCCGTTGGGAACTGCTCTTGGGGCGTGGCGGAATGGGGGAGGAGAGGAGGAACCGAGTACGGAGTGGTCCCCGAGACGAAAGACACTTCCTCGATGGCTGACAGGGAGAGGAAGGGCTTTTGCGGATCGCGTCTCACGTTGGGAGGCTGCTGGAAATGACTCCTTGTCTGATTCGTGGGCCTTGGCCTCTCCGTACAGAACTTGTTCTCCTGGGGTCCTTCGGCCTCTGACCAGTTGGGGCCCGTTTTCGAACAGGGCCAGACCGTGCCCCATCCAACGTGCGGGCAAGGAATGTATACTGTTATAAGCTCCTCCAGTGATTCCGAATGTGCATCTCAGGTTAAGAACCCATATTCTTTGCAGTAATTTGCTCGGTGTTTCAGGCGGAACTGACAGATGAAAACCCCTTTCTGAGCATTCCTCCCCAGGCGAAGGAGGCGCATCGGGGACCCCCAGGAGGCTATCATTTTTCAAAGATGGAAATGGTATATGTCCGTGATTTAGGATGGAAGCCATGTGATGTCTGTCAGTTTGTGTATGTGCTGCCGAAGCGAGCACAGTCAGTTTGCTTTGAAACCCAGAAGGGGAGCAACAACCCTCTCCCTGCCCCCCAAACGACTACTGAAATTTCGAGTTTATTTACAACTGGAGAATCTTGCTAAATAATGCCTGTAGTCATAACAGCCTAGAAACATCACTGTGAAGACATCATAATACAAAGTCAGAAGCATTACAAGTAATTCCAAGCTGCATTTCCAGTCTTAGGTCTCTTCTGGTTAGACTGAGATTTTAATTAGCTACTGCTCACTAACATCTTCATGAAGGGGATTCCCCCTTTTATAGTGTGATGTAAAGGTAGTGAAAGCAAATAATATTTAACCACAGCACACCAGGGTTAGAAATAATAAAGGTTGTATGAAATATTTTGTCCTTCCGGATTTTGTGTCTTCAAAGTCATGTTAGTGGCGAAACTGACAGTAGGTTAAAGGCATTAGGGTGGATCAAATTCCGATTGTTTTCCAGAGAGGATGCTTGGGAGGGTTAGGCTTCAGGCTAGAATTTGGATAGATGCAAAGACCCTAACTTAAAGCCTTTTCCCTTCCTGCCATCTATGTATATAAAAATCATCCTCTTAAAGTTCAGCACAAGTGCCATGTCTTCCAACAGCCATTCTTAATCTGGAAATGATTCATTTCTGTTGTGCAATTTTGCTTATAATACATGTATAAGTTTCCTAGAGCTGCCATAACAAAGTACTGCAAACTGATGGCTTAACACAACAGAAAATTATTGTCTCACAGTTTCGAAGGTTCAAAGTCCTAAGAGGATAGCAGGGCTATCTTCCTGAAAACTATAGAGGTTAATCCTTGCCCATTTCCTACCTTCGGGTAGCAGCCTCCAGTCCTCAGCATTCCTTGGCTTGGAGCTAGATCACTCCAATCACTGCCTCTACTGTCACAGGATGTTTTCCCTTCTTGTGTCTATATCTCTATGTCTTTTCTCTATTGGATTAAGGGTCCACCCTACTCCAGTATTACCTCATCTTAACTAATTACATCTGTAAAGATCCTATTTGCAAATAAGGTCCCATTCTAAAGCACTGGAGGTTAAGACTTCAACATGTCTTTTGGGAACACAATTCATCCTACAACAACACACACATTTTTTTTTTAAAGATTTCATTTATTTATTTGACAGAGAACACAAGTAAGCAGAGCAGCAGGCAGAGGGAGAGAGAGAAGCAGGCTCTCCATTGAGTGGGGAGCCCGATGCGGGGCTCAATCCCAAGACCCTGGAATCATGACCTGAGCCGAAGGCAGACACTTAACCAACTGAGCCACCCAGACGCCCCAACACACATATTTTTTATAGTAATTGTAAATGTCACCTTGCCTACTACCTTGTGAGATCCTTGAAAGTAGAAGGTATTTTACATATCCTGTTTTCTCTACAGTGCCTTGCAAATCAGAAATATTCAATAACTGTATCTTGAATGGACATTTGAAGGCTTCTGCTGTGTTTGCTAAACTTCCTAACTCTTAGAGTCACCAGATCACATTAGTTTCTGATTTCTTAATGATTGTCATGTGTTCTAAGAAGCTATTGATTCTTTATGGGATCTAGAGAATATTTCTGATCTATTTCCTTGTCCTGAGACCAATCCAGTGAGGATGCACGTTTTTAGGAAGGTAGTAACATTTTCATTCTTTTGAGAATGTTTCCATCTTTTTAAAAAAAAGTCCTTTTTAATTTTTATTTATGAGAATGATTCTGTCTTAAATGACTAGACATGAGTTAATGTTCCTTTGCCTGTAATCAATAAGAGCCAGCAACTTAAATTTCTTCTTTCCTTCTCCATATTAGGCTGGTGATTTTACACCATCTCTGCTACTGATCGTGACAGTGAAGCATTTAAAGACTTTAAGCAGGGTAGTGATGTGAATGGAATTACATTTTATAACAACCCCCCTGCCTTAGTGGGAAGAATGGATTGGAGGAAAGAAAGACTAGAGACAGAGAAACCAGTTAGGATGCTGTTGCAAGAGATATGGTGGCCTGAACTTGGGTGTGGCAGTGAAGAAAGTGATAAGAAAGCTATTTAGAGCTTCTGATCAATTTTGACATGCCCAACTCCACTCCAAAAACATAATAAATAATAGATATAAATCTAAAAATAGAAAATCAATCAGACAAACTGAGACTCAAACCTATCCCGACTTCTATCCTCCTAGCCCTCAACAAAGGAAGCAGAAAAAAGTGCTCAACCCCTAGCTAGGATCATGGCTTTTAAAAGAGACTGGAGGCCACACTGTAGCTCCCTCACCTGGAAGTCGACCAAACAGCCAGCTGCCCTTGTGACTCAATATACCATTAGCCAGGAAACTCAAAATGCCATTCTAAGTTTTAGTTTTGAACTAAAAGCTGGAGAAGAATAAGGACAATTTGAAGCATCTATGAAACCACCCAACAGAGTTTAGGGAAACCAGGTAGATAAAGATACGGAAAGAGTGAAGAAGAAAAAAACACAAACTCACAAATTCAGAATCAAATAACAATGCCAAAACACAGAAAGAAATCTAATACTAAGAAAGAACAAGAACAAAAACAATCAGAACTTGAATTCACTCAAAATAAAATTAATTTTATGAAGCAGTCTTAAAAAGACTTCTCAAACAATATATGGCATGCCCAAAGAGGTAAAAGAAGGAATAACTTCTATCTAAATAAAACAAGAAATTGTGAAATACACAAAATAATAAACAAAAATGGAAAAAGAGCAGGTGGATTTGAAAAATAACCATTTATAAATCTTCAAAATAATAAAATATTCTTCTCAAAAACTCAATAGATAATGTAATCTGGATACCAGAGAAGGGGGTGTTTAGCAAGTTGGAAGACAGTGCCTCCTGCAAAACACAACACAGACAGTTTTAATATGAAAAACACATGGAAAAACACATATATTCACAGGCTTCAACATAAATTTCTATTAAAAGTTCCAGAAGAGACTGAGAAGAATATTAAAGAAACAAGTTTTGAAAAAATTAATTTCAGAATTGAAAAAAGACCTAAGTCTTTATGGCAAAGGGTCACTTGAATATCAACCAGAATAAATAATGATAAATCTTCCCCAAGACACAGAGTGGTGAAACTGTTGAACATTTAGGATAAAGAGAAAACTCGTACAGAATTCCAGGAATAAAAGTCAAAGTACCAAAGGAACACTAATTAGACAGACAGCTGACTTCTCACCAGCAATAACAGATGCCAGAAGACAATGAAGTAATATTTTCAAAGTGCTGAGGGAAAATAATTAATATCCTTAAATTGTATGGCCAGCGATACCATCACTTAAGAGTAAAGACAAATTGGGGTGCTGGGTGACTTAGTTAAGTGTCTGCCTTGGGCTCAGGTCAAGATCCCAAGGTCCTGGAATCGAATCCTGCATCTGGCTCCCTCTGCCTGCCATTCCCCCTCCTTTTGCTTGCAGTGTCTGTTAAATAAATAAAATCTTAAAAAAAAAAAAAGTAAAAGACAAATTGAAAAAGCAATTAATGGAATAGGAGCAAATATTTGCAAACCATATATCAGATAAGAGATTGATATAAAGAATATATAAAGAACCCCTACAACTCAACAAAAGCAAAACAAAACAATTCCATTAAAAAGTGGGCAAAGGATTTGAACAGGTATTTTTCCAGACAGATACATACAAACAATTGATAAGACACTCAACGAACTAATCATTAGGGAAATGCAAAACTAAACAAAAATGAGATACAACTTTACACCAATGAGGATGGCTATTATAAAACAAACAACAACAACAAAAGCAGAAAATAACAAATTCTGAGGTTATGAGGACATTTGGAACCCTTGTGTGTTGCTGTTGGGAATATAAAATTGTTTAGCTGCTGTGGAAAACATATGGCAATCCCCCCAAAAATTAACCACAGGATTATCATACGATCTATTTCTGGTATATGCCCACAGAAATGAAAATAGTGACTCACGCAGATATTTGTACACCCATTTTCAAAGATTTTATTTATTTATTTGACAGACAGAGATCACAAGTAGGCGGAGAGGCAGGCAGAGAGAGAGGGGAGGAAGCAGGCTCCCTGCTGAGCAGAAAGCCCTATGTGGGGCTCTATCCCAAGACCCTGGGATCATGATCTGAGCCAAAGGCAGAGGCTTTAACCCACTGAGTCACCCAGGCCCCCCTGTATACCCATTTTCATAGCAGCATTATTCACAGTTGTCGAAAGGTGACAATGAAGACACTATCTAAACATTCATCTTATCACTT